TGTCATTCTGTGAGTTTCTTCAGAGCTTGGAGAAGAACTTAATTTTTCTTTTGACATAAATGTATAAATTAGTATCTTCAATATATTTCATTCAAATTAAAACTTGCCAAACTTTTTATAAACTTCATGCAAGTTAATGGTTTAGGGAACCACAGCTCATGTATAAACTGTTTTCTGTACATTTTCAAGTTATTTTTTGTAAATATCAAAGTTACTGACAAATCAGTTTGTGAAGGACCACTATTTAATATATTTTGAAATATTTTTACTTCTACTTCAAAGAGAGTATAAGTTTTTCTTAGACATGGTGTCACATACCATTATAATTGCTATTGTCCGCTCACATCCAGTCAGCTAATTTTACATTTTACATTTGTTCTTCCTACAATGTGGTGGAAGCAGAAAACTTGTATAACATACACAATTTACTAATCTATTTGAATTTTTGATGGCAAAAATCAATAAAGCAATTTGCTAGAAAGAAATCAGTCTCATATGCCTTTTTTATAAGTTATCTATTTTTAATCAGATGGATGTTGTGTCTCACTTTTTGGTAATTACTGTAAAATTAATTGTTTAATGTAGGACTTAGACACACTCTAAAAAAAAAAGAAGATGTAACTGTACTGTTTTTTTTGTGTTGATTCTGGGACTTGAAAAACCAGCCTGTGATTACCTACAAAAGCTCTCACTATCAATTAACACACAAATCCAACACCCTTAAATAAAATCATTAAATCTCTCTCTAAGCCCATTTTTCAACACTGCTATGGATCAGATATATTTGAACAACATAAATCTTACCGTTCCCTCTATTCTGCTAGAAAATACTTTGCAATAAAGAGCCAGAAGGTTCCATGTTATTTGTTTAGTAAACCAGCCTCCTGATTTTTGTGCTGCTTTTGCTTGAGGACAGACATTACAAGTCATTCTCTCCAGAACAACTATAGGAAGCTGATTACTCTCACTAATCCCTAAATCAAGGTGATGAGTATTTTATCAAAGACATTACTCTTACAGTTATGGACCTAAATGGTTCATGTCTTATTCATGTCATATTAAAACCCTCCCAAGCTTAGTGTTCTTTAAGATCAAGGTGTATTGGTTCTGATTATATGAAAAACCTCACATACTCCTCCACTGATTGAAACTACTCACGTGTGTTTATTACACAGGTCTAATGTTCTTTAAGATCAAGGTGTATTGGTTCTGATTATATGAAAAACCTCACAAAAACCTCCTCCACTGATTGAAACTACTCAGGTGTGTTTATTACACAGGTCTAACACTGACAGATGAAGGTGATTTCAGCAATGGGTCCTACCCTAGACACCTGTTTGTCCAGCTGAATGTCATTCTGCCTCCCTCTGGGTCACTATGCAAACTCTTCTTGATGGAACAGAAGGGAAGAAAGGTACACAAGATTGTATTTCTTTGATTTGGGGCTGGATTAACAAATCTATTGCAAATTACACTTGGAACTGGTCCATTTTTAAGGTATATGCCTTGTTTCAATCAGTTCTGCTGAATGCCTTGTTAATTATGACAATGTTTTGAGATGAAAGAGGCAACATATTTGATCCTGTCCTGTTAGTTTCAATCGGTTCTAACTTTAGACAGTGCCAAAGAAAACAGGACCATGATTTCAGTGTTTGTAGCAGTGTAACGTATTACTAGTTACAGCTCCTTTCCTGGCTTCACTACGCCTCCGAAACTATACAAGGAAGATTCTTACAGTTCATATTTATATGAAAAATAAACACAAATATAGGAAATATAGAGGCCTTCCTTTGGAGTCCCCTGAGATATTTTCTATTCAGTACAACACTGTTCTGGTATTACAGCAAAACAGTGGTGTAAGTACAGCCACATTTCAGAGGAACTAGTTAGAAGAAGACATTATAAAACAGAGGTCCAAAAACCACATCAGGTTTGACTTTTGAGGCTGGTATTTCTCAAGCATGTTGCACTGTAATTGCCTAAGTGTTGTTATGTGAATGCGAATGCTGTGAGGAAGTGGGACAAAGTCCATTGAAACTGTAAGTCTATATTCTTGAACAGGTGGTGTGTGGAAAATAGAACTCAGATGAATAGCGAAGATAAAAAACACCAGGCTCAAAACCTGGTACACAAAGGAGAACATCAAGTGGAGAACACTGCACATAGACCTTCTGAAATTAAGTCACAAAACCTCTGAACACTCCAAAGCACTCTTTGCCAGGTGGTGGAGAAAGTCTGAAGTGACTTCTGAGAACCTCAGTCATGACTATTAGTGACTGCCAGCCGTCACATAACAAGGACAGACATGGTAATACAGCATTATTCAATGGTAAATCACAAAGAAATAGAGGACATGCAGCAGCTCCATAGGTGCTTCAGAAAACTTTCCTGCATATTGGCCACACAATGTAATTATTTTTTGTTGTTATATTACTTTTTTATTGGTTGAAGACAGAATCCTCCTTATGAAATGTAGGTATGAGAGCGAATAGGGTATTTATTTCCTTGATGCATTGAGAAATTTTAAAACACATATATACTTCCTGCCTCTGGAAATATATATGTACTTCATCACTGCTCCTTTTAAATGTAAAAAAGCAAGAGTTTCAAGAAACACCTGAAAGTGGCTCAAGATGTATCTTAGAGCTCAGGTAAGAGTTCATGTTTTCAGAGGCTACAGTCCAAGGATTCATGGTCATTCCAAAATGCTGCAGTATTTAGGAAGCTACGGTGGAAATCACTATAGAACCCTCTCAAAAGGAAAGCTTTGAGTCAGCTTTTGCGTGTGAGACAGTGACATCCAGTGGTGAGTTTGGTTACCTGCAGCGATCTCTTCCCCGATGGACAGAAGAACATCAATACTTTTATTTAGTTGAAACACATTAAAATATTTCAAACATATTTTAAACTATTTAAAAATATTTCAATAGAGAAATATACACAGTGTTGTGTTCCCTAAAAAAGAAAACATACTTAGATATAATAATTATAAAAATGCTGTACTCACCTGAAGTGAAAAAACTACAGAATCACAGAATGGGTCACACTGGAATGGACCAGAGAGTCATCTTGGCCTAACTCCTTGCTCAAGCAGGGTCACCCTAGAGCACATTCTACAGGATTGCATCCAGAATGTGTAATCAAGCTTACAATAAAAGTATGCAAAAATGTTTATCTGTATTTGAAGAAATAGAACATTTCCTACACTACAACAGTATTCTGTTTTGTTCAGACAAAGAATCACTACTCCTCTTTTTCCTGAAAATCTCAGTTCCTATAAAAATGGAGCTTATGATTCCCAACACCCACAAAGAAATTCTTTGTAAACTCTTGCTCCATTTGGGATTCACCAGCAGATCACCAGCTAACTCAAACACAGCTTTTCTAGAGTAGATCCTTCCTTTCAAGACCTTTCAGCTATTGAAAAGCACTAAGACTGTACTTCAAAGTTCTTTGTTTATACACTCAAGGATGTAGAAGACCTCAATTCAGTGTCCTGTGCCTTTTGCAAAGAGGCAAGTTTTTTTATTGGAGATGGAGATCAACGTATCTACAAAGCTAGGAAATACTGTTGAGGAAAAGACATTTAAAAACCCTTATTGAATCTGTTCCATTTTATCTACCATCATGAGATTCACTGGACCAAAACGAGGCTAAAATACATCCTACATTAAGAATATGGTATTTCAGTGGATATGGAAAAAGAAAGCAGTCTAGGTTCTCATTTTTGGAAACTCATCTCAGATATTACTTTTTCATAGGAAACAAGGCCAACCTCAAACTCCAGCAAGTTTTCCAATTAATTTCTGATAATCTGTCTTTTCACAGATTATCATTATTTCACAGTGCAACAAAATTACCTTGTACTATGACAAAGTTGCCAAGTTAATATTACTTTCTCCCTTGTAATGTTTTTTCATGAACCTGACATTGTGCACTGTCACGGAACGATACATTATGGTAGGCTGAAGATCAGATTCACTGCCTTTGAGATGCACAGACCAGTAACAAATCACCTGTCCCATCTCACTCTCCAAAGGATCCAGTTGAGCAGCTAGCAGTTTTCTGTGTGCATGTATGAAAATTAAATAAACTGGCTCTTTCTTTCACAAGCAACCTAAATTCAGGTTTCCCAATTAAAAGCAAAGTTATTCCACCAGTCTTAAACACTTGGCTCTCCTTCACTTATACATACAAATTCTAAGCAGGTGGAACAGCCTCTAAATTAATGATTTAATTATTTTGGTTTGTCAGCAAGTAGACCCACATTTAATGTTATTGTACTATCACATCATAAATCCAGACTCATGATGAACAGAAGTCATGCTCCACTTATTGAGCGTTTCTCTTAAGGTTTGTGATACCTACTTTAAAAAAAAAACAAAACAAAACAAAGCAAACCAACAAACAACTTCGCTCTTTAACTTAGTGTTTCTTAGGCAAGTCCAGGTAGAGGAGATCACAGATAAATTTGAGTCTTTCTGAAATGTAGAGAATGGGAATATTTTTCTGAGAAACACACACGCCCATGCGAGGCAAGAAAGTCATCCAAGACAGCCAAAAAGAATTCACCAAAGGCAAATCCTGTCCGACCCACCGCTGGCCTTTTATGATGGAGTGACTGCAACAATCAACAGGGGAAGACCAACAGACATAATCTACATAGAACTGTACAGGCCTGTGACCAGTCCCACACATTGTCAGCACTGAACTAGAGAGACATGGATTTGAAGTGTGGGCTGTTCTGTGGATAAAAAACTGGCTGGATGGACACAAGCTGAGGATTGTAGCCAACTGCTTACATCCAGCTGGAGGCCAGTGACAAGTGGTGTCCCTCAGAACCCTAGTCTTGACATTGGTTCCTTTTAATGCTGTAACAATAACACAGTGAGATCCAGAGCAACCTCAGCAAGTTTGCAGATGACACAAAGCTGAGTGATGCAGGTGACACAAACAAGGAAGGAAAAAGTCTGATTAAAAATGAATACAAATTAACTCAATTTAAGATACAGTGAATTATAGTTTTATTTATAAAATGCCACTGGCACACAGTACACACAGAAAGTATGAAACTTGATTTATAAAGAAGTGAAGTGCTTCACAGAAGCATGGATTCCTGAGTTATTCTGAATGAAATCTCTCATGTACTGTAATTCACAACACAGCTCCAATTTGCTTAAGCATCAGAATAACTGATACTTGATAAGCACAGAATAAAGACACAGTAAAAAAATACACAGGCAAATGGAAACTGGAAGATTGTGTCTCATCAATACTAACAGCCTTGGTCATGGAGGAAAACAATCATACACTGAAGGGCATAAAGACTTGTTAAGACTGGTTTCATAATTTCACAGCCAATTCAAATGTACTGCAGATACCTGCTTTACCTCAATGCCCACAGCCACAATTAAAAAGTACTCCTGACACCGGAAACAAAAATACTTCTGTTCCTGCATACCCATACAGACGGACTGATTTCTCAGACAGGAATTATTACAACTGAAGAAAGAAAAAGTTTGGCACTTTCACTTCTTTTTTTCTTTTTCTACTTTCCTTCTCTGCTGTAGCATCTTTAGTTCAGTCATTACATTCAAAGTTCTGTAAACCCAGGTGACCTGAAAAGTAAATAAATTATTACATTCAACTAATCCACATACTTCACTTACTCTTTTAATGAAAGCACCTATATGAATGAACACATACATACCACAATTATAATAGTATTCACCAGCAGTGGTGCTGAAAATACAAGTGAAATAAACATTCCTCTTGAATCAAAGTACTGGTATTTAGAAAAGAGCCTGAAAGAAATAAAAAGAAAATGAAAGAAAAAGCTTTATTTAGTGAAGTTCACACATTCAACTTTCCCAGCAACTACTCTACATGCACACTGTACACATCATCCCACATCTTGGGATCACCAAGCATAAGCCAGCATTCTACTGTATTAAGTCAGAAAAAAAGAAGCAGCTGATACTTCTTCAGTTATGAACATTAATATCAGTCCTTCTCCTCTTTACAGTTTTACTGTGTAAAAGCTAACTTACATGACTGACTACAAGAGTGCATCACAAATCATGCTTATTCTGAAGCATCTGAAATGCTTTTAGGTATTTTGCTTACTTATATTAGAAAAGATAACAAAAATGATAAATGCAGCAAAGCTGTAATTAGGTCACATATGCCTGAAGTGAAACATAATGACTACAATTAGATGCCAACATGAAGTGGTGTTAAACACATAACTTTCAGTGATATCAGGGAAAGAGTAATTCAATGCTCAAAATATCAAAATAAACCCATCACTTTAATTCTGGTATACACATTTAGTAAACAGGCAAATGTTAATGCTCGTTATACATAGAAGTAAGTATATAAAGCAGCAGTTGTATTTTTGAGAAGCGGTTCTTATCCTCAGCTATTAAACATGAACACCAAAAAAAAAAAAAAAAAAAACCAAAAAACCCCCCCCCAAAAAAAAACAAACAAAAAACCACAAACCCACAAACAAACAAAAAACCCCACCAAAAAAAAACCAAAAAAACAAAAAACCAAAAAAACCAACAACCAAAAATCCACCACAGTTCACTCTTTTCCCCTTAACCACAGCACTCCCTTTTCTCGTCGGAGTTCTTTGACAAGTTAGTTTACAAGCACTCATATAAACAGATTTTAAGCAGCACAATAAATCCATGCCATCATTACTTCTTATAAGTATGTGATAACTATATTGTACTGTATAGTTTTACTCATAAAATGAAAGTGAAAACATTTACCTCCAATTCATGGCTGCTAATTCATTGATATATTCAGCGCAGTACACTAAGCCCACTATAAATAAAAGAAAAATATTAGATTCGGTATTTCTTTAAAAATAAACCGTTCAGGATACATCATCTAATCCAAATCCATGTGGTCTTAAACCAAAGCTAGTATGTGTTCTGCCAGTCAGCCATGGCTGCTTTGGCTAGGCAAGGTCACTGTGGACTCTCAGGTTAATAAACCCTGGGATAACTCAAGTTGTTACTGCAGTGTGCAAGCCAGTCTTGCTCTTCCTCGTGCCATTATCACGGCTGTCAGCAGGGCATATGGTGAACTTGCTTCAGAAACTAAAGCTGACCATATCCACTGAACAGCACCATTAGAATAAAGCAGAGTACAAAGCAACTGCTGGCTCTCAGTCAGTTTCTTTGTACTCTCAGTTGGTTTCTTTTCTGCTTCTCCAGCAAAGAACACTTCACTGGGAAGCTGCGATACACAGGGCAATGACAATGCAGTAACCTTACCCATCCCACTTCCTCACCAAGACCAGAGCCTTAAGTCACTACTTCACACATTTTCTTGGAAATAAAATAAAAACATATTTTTAGGTCATAGCAGGTTCCATAGCAGACTATCATCGACAGGCACACGCACTGCTAGCGGAGACACGCGAAGCTGCAGGCACTGCTGTGGGCCCGGCAGCGCACGGCGTGCCCGTGCACTCACCCATGCAGAGGAAGTGCCCGACCTGCACCCGGCGGTGCTGCAGGGACGCGCACGTCAGGAGGAAGCAGAGCAGGTGGAAGGCCGCCAGCCCCAGCAGCCAGGGCTCGGACCAGTCCGTGCTCTGCGGGCAGAGGAAAGTGGGTCAGGCAGCGGCGGCAGAACGGGCGGCCACAGCGACCGAACACGGCCGGTGTCGGTCACGGACCGCGCCCCGCAGCCTCCTTCACGCACCCTGCGCCCCCAGCAAGGGCCTCCCCCCTCCCCGCCGGACGGCCCCGCTCCGCCTCACCGCCAGCACGGCCGACAGCCCCGGCGGGCCGCGCACCGACGGCTCCATGGCGGCGGCAGCAACACCTCAGTTCTCGCGAGACTCGTGCGGCCGCCGCTCTCCCTGCGGCGCGATGGCGGGAAGGGGGCGGTGGGGCCCGAAGCGGCTCCTCCTTCCCGCAGGCGACGGGACCGCCGATGGTCCCGCGGTTCGGAGAAGGGACTGAGGTGGCTCCTCACACCCCGGTGGCTCCTTCTTCTGAGGGTGCCTCTGGTCGCGTTTTGAGCGTTTGACGCCGGGAGGCCGCCAGTGTCCCCATCCGCTCTGTGGGGTCCCGCTGGACTCGGCGCCTTGGGTCGGTGGCCCAGCATTGGTGTTAGCGTGTGGTCTACTGTCAGCAACACCCAGGGTTGGCTTTAGCGATGGCAAGGAAAAAAGAGCTTTAAGCCCAGCTGGGAGTTCTTTAAAAACAAACACAGCTGAGCTCTCCAGGCAGGAACTTAAGTCATATGAAAACTACTTTTTCTCTCCAAGCAAAGCCCACCGACATCCCCTGCCCACCTCGAGGGGCAGCGGGGCCTTCTCCTCTTGTCGCCACTACAGCAGAGCTCAAGGACATTTTTTAACTTTGGAAGTTGAACAAATATTAAAATAAAACAATGGAAAAGGAACAGGAGACACATTAAAATTCTATTTTATAATTCCTTTTGCTAAATGCATCTAGGTCTGGAAGAACCAACTGTTCTTAAGACTTAGCACATAAAGAGCATTTCAAACTCAGATTCCTAACAATGAAGCCAAATCTAATCTAAAGGACTAGATCTGTTGAACAAACACTGTTTTAATATATATCTGCACATTCTGCTTTCATTAATTTTTTAATGACAGCTTATCAGATGTGACTTTGAATTTTTTTTTTCAAATGTTTTGAATTGCATGTATAAGTAAATATTACAGATACTCTTAATTTAGTTTACCATATAGCCAGATATGGTTCATAAGTGTGACCTGGTCTCTCTTCACTGTCACACCTCTGGTATTTAAGATGAGATACCTGAAACAGAGGATTTTTAAAAAAATATTTTTAGGTCTTTTTGGTTTAGGTTTTGTTAGTCTTTTTCTCAACAAAAATAATATCTGGAGGCCAATCAAGGCTTTCACTTGAAGTGTTGTAAAATTAAGTAAGGCGATAGAAAGGTGGTAATTCCTACTACCATTATTGTCCTAAAATTAAGACTAGGGGAGAAAAGATATTTTTATACCACACTGTAGATTGGAAAACAAGACTGGAATAACATGGACCTGTACGGGCTGGGGTCTGATCTGCTGGGAAGCAGCTCTGTGGAGAAGGACCTGCGGGTCCTGGTGGACAACAAGCTGCTCACAAACCAGCAGTGTGTCCTTGTGGCCAAGAAGGCCAAAGGTATCCTGGGGTGCATTGGGAAGAGCTTTGCCAGCACGTCACAGGAGGTGATTCTGTCCTTCTGCTCAGCCCTGGGTAGGCACATCTGGAGTGCTGTGTCCAGTTCTGGGCTCCTCAGGACAAGAGAGATGTGGAGCACCTGGAGTGGGTCCAATGGAGGGCTACAAAGCTGATTTAGGGACTGGAGCATCTCTCTTATGAGGAAAGGCTGAGGGAGCTGGGTGTGTTCAGCCTCCAGAAGAGGTGACTGAGAGGGGACCTCATCAATGTCTGTCAGTACCTGAAGGGAGGCTGTCAGATGATGTTTCCAGGCTCTTCTTGGTGGTGCCAAGCAATAGGACAAGAGGCAATGGGCAGAAGCTGATGCACAGGAAGTTCCACCTGAAGACGAAGACGAACTTTACTGTGTGGGTAGCCAAGCCCTGGAACAGATTGCCCAGAGAGGCTGTGGAGTCTCCATCCCTTGGGATATTCAAGAACCTGGACACAATCCTGTGCAGTGTGCTGTAGGGTGACCCTGCTTGAGCAGGGTGGTTGGACTAGGTAACCCATTGTGGTCTTTTCCAACCTGACCCATTCTGTGATTTGTTTGGACAGTCTTATGACTAATAATAAATTTTTGTGTTTTGTAAATGAGGAATGAGTTTTGTGTAATTGCTCAGTAGTGCAATTGACTTCAGAAACTGTCTGCAATAGCTGAAGGGCTTCAATGAATGCAGGATGCAGTCACTAACTATATGAGTGGAATATGCTGGTCAGTGGTGAATCTGTGATGCAGACAAAATGGGTGGGTAGGAAATTATTGGCTTACCATGGCTACAACATGCTGAATTAAAAATTCATGTAGCTGTTACTGTCAGCCACTGTAGCATCAGCAGAAACTTTCCTATAGGGAAATAGGAGTTGTTTCTTTAAGACTAAGATAAAGTCAGTAATGCTGTTTGTCAGTAGATGGTAGCAGATACATAAGTATTGCCAGATCTTTTGTGTGGTACATGTTGTCTTTCATTCATTTTTAGTGGAGAATGAAATGTGAACAGAAGATACTTAAAAGTCAGTGAACAGATACATTACTCTTTTTTAGGGAAAAACTTGTGTATTTGTTCTTTTATAGCTCCTTTGCAGAACCAGTATGCTACAATTAGAGTCTAATTTTTAGAATACTAACCATAAGTATTTAGTAATAATAATAATAATAATAATAATACAGAAATGTTTCTGTTATCACTATTATAAGTAACTGAAGTAGTTTGTAAAACTCACACTCAGTTTTCTGTTGCAAGATTCAGATTCCTATGTATTTTTCTTGCGCACTACAGTATTATCCAAGCAGTTTAGATAAAAGATAAAAAAAAACCTCGGTTGGTAAAAGGAAATTTTTCCCTTTTAACAACAGAAAAATTTCATTTACTTTACATAGGAAAGGATCTAAAATCAGACATTGATCTTAAGTTTATGTTGCTGAAAAAAGAAGCTGGCTGGTAAAAGTCTGTGTGCAATAGCATATCCCAAATTTAAATGCTAAATTATGTTCCTAGTCATAGCCCTTACATATGTTTTTCAGCTGATCATATTTGCAGTACTAGAAACCACATAGAAGTTGTAGCTGTTATACTTCTGGCTGAGGGAAATGCAACTCTGATTCTGCAGGAGAAGAAGTGAGAAGGTGTGTGAGTGAGTGAATGAGGCAGCATCTCATCTCATCTCATCTCATCTCATCTCATCTCATCTCATCTCATCATGTGGGGGTTACTGACAGGTATTGACAGCCCCATTTCTGTGCTTTGTCACATCCCACTGCAGAGTTCTGCTGTTGGGGACAGGGACTGCTCATCTCTGCATCTCCTGCCTATCTTGCAGCCTGCTCCTGTGGAGTCCTGTGCTCTGCTGACTTCAATAGTCTTTCCTGAGCTTTGGGAGGCAAGAGCAGCTTCGCTATGAAAACATGCTGAGCCTGGGAGAGGAATCTGGATAATCATTTTTGCTGTGGTCACTTCCAGGGCATCACTTCTATCTGCTCTGAAGATTTTCCTTATGTTCATGCTTGTGCTCAAAAGCAGCCTTAAATTTGCATTTGCTTCCCAGTGCAACAGAAGTGAGCCTGAGTCTGGTTACTCACTGTTTCACTAAAATCCTTCACTTTCCCTGTCCTTGCCATTATAAAATAATTATTTTTGAGTGGTTCCATTATATTTTGCAGCTGCTGTCTCTTTATCTTTTTATAGTACCAGCTTTTATTGGTCATGATGTGCTTGGAAAATACAAATAATAATCATAGCGTTGTAAAGACTTCTTTAGAAATAGAATTTAGAACTGACTGGATTGCCTTATGCATGTAATTTGTGAGTTTCAGGTTTAGATGATAGATGCCACTTCACCTAAGCCTGAGGTTACCCCTGCTTTTGAGAATGAGTTTGACTGGATGACCTCCAGAGGTCTGACCTATATTGCTCTATACTTTGGATTTCCCAGGGATATGGACTGGGACCAGCTGGCTGGGAAGCAGCACTGCTGAGCACAGCCTGGGAAGCCTGAGGGGTGCAAAAAGCTGAACACAAACCAGCAGTGTGACCTGGCAGCAAATACTGTCAGCAGTTTCTTGGGCTGTATTAACAGCACACCCAGGAGATGAAGGGATTCAGCATTCATCAGAATACATCTGTATTCACCTTTGCATACTTTAGATATAAGGACAGTAGAGCTAAACGGTGAAAATTCAGCAGAGAGCTGCCAAAATACTCAGGAAGTTGAAGAACTTGTCCTGGGACAGGGGCTGAGGGAGCTGGGCTTGTTTGGCCTGGCAAGAGGCGTCTCCAGGGGAAACGTAGTAGCAGCCTGACAGTGCTTATGAGGAGCTTATAAAAAAGATGCAGCCAGGCTCTCCTGGTGGTGTGGTGTGAGAATGAGGGGCAATGCGCCTAAAGTGAAGCTAGATGTTTGGCCTGGATAAAAAGAAAAGATTTTTCCTCATGAGGACAGTCAAACAGTGGAAAAGGTGTCCAAAGAGGTGGGACGCCTCTTTTTTTGCGGATTTTTAGGACCCAGTTGGATAGAATCCTGAGCAACATGGTCTCACCTCATAATGAATTTACCTTTGAGCAGAAGGTTGAAATGACTTCTTAAGGTCCCTTCCAACCTGAATTATTCTGATTAAGTGATTCCACAACTTAAAATGAGAAAAAACCCAACTTTTTAGTAGTGTTCACTAAACAATACTGCTTTAGCCTGCAAGTGAAAGAAATGCTTTTATGTGGTTTTTTTTCAGAATCTTATTCCCTTATTACCTCTCTTTCATCCACTTTCTGTCAGGGCTTTTTTTCCTCATTGCAAAGTCGCTTCAGGCATCTTCATGCTTATTTTTCTTCCTCTGTTATTCTCAGAAAGTACATGCAGTCTGAAATACAAATGTCTTTTTTTTTTTTTCTATACCTAATAACATGACCTCCTGTTAAATTATTCCACTAATCCCAACAAAGATCTCAGAATCCTTTCAAAGCCTTACTCTATTCTGGCAAAGAAACCAGATTTTTATTTCTGTTGTGAACTTTGTCCATTCAGGGTGAAAGAGGCCAAGTGTAGTTGCAAGCAAAAATCAGTCCTGACAGTCTCAGGTTCTGTTCTTAATTATATACTTTGTCTCTTTGACTCATTCTGAAGT